TCTATAACTCTAATAGAAGAGAGAAAGGCCGACGTATTGTCCAATATCTTAAATAAATTGGATTTACTTCTACAAAGGTGATTGGTCTCGGAGTGATCGTAGAAATATAGATATTTGAGCTTTACGGTATGTTGCCAATGAATTATGAACGGTACTCAGACGTTTATATTTTGACGTTTAACTGATTTTTTGAACTTTAATATTTCTTTTATAAAAATATAGTAAATTCAATAACATACACCACATCTATCGTTGCTTTAAACTTTGTGCGAAAGTCGCGAAAAATCAACAAATAAGGAAAAGCTGTGATCAAAATTTAAAAGCTTTTATCAGAATTTTTAGAAAATGTTTACGTACGCAGATATATAGCCTTCAATTTCAGTTCCATGAAATGCAAGTTTGAAGTCGGTCGAAATCCGCGTTTGATTTTTCGAAAATATCTTTGGTTTAAGGTGTAATGCATTTTCTTCAACATAAAAAAATGCCGACATACTTTACGTGGAAGAAAATGCAGAACACCTTCAACCAAAAAAAATTTCAAAAAATTAACCGCGAATTTTTACCGACTTCAAACTTGCACTTTATGGTACTAAAATTTAAGGCTATATAAATGCGTAGTAAAAACATTTTTTAAAAATTCTGATAAGTTTTAAATTTTGATGAGTTTTTCGTAATTAGCCGATTTTTCGCGAATTCTCCACAAAGCTTGAAGCTACGATATATGTGAATTTACTATATTTTTATTAAAGAAAATATGAAAGTTCAAAAAATCAGTTAAACGTAAAATGTAAACATCTGTGTACCGTTTGTAATTCAATGGTCATATACTATAGGTTTAGTTTTCCAAGCTGTAGAACAGCGCGTTGTTTTTTACTTATGTAAATAAATTTGGTATTTAAGCTTTGGGTTAAGTTTTCAAGCTGTGGAACAGAATTTTATTGCTTTTATTTATGATTAATTTAAATTAATTAGATATTTAAGCTGTAGGTTAAGTTTCCATGCTGTAGAACAGCGTTTTATTGTTTTTACTTATTGCTAATGTAAATAAATTAGGTATTTAAGCTGTAGCGTAAGTGTACATGTTGTAGAACAGCGTTTTAATTTTTCATTTATTATTAATGTAAATAAATTAGGTATTTAAGTTGTAGGTTAAGTATTTCAAGCTGTAGAACAGCGTCTTAATTTTGTTGAATTTAATGAATTTTGGACTGAAATATGCATATATAGAAAATACTTAATATAAAGAAAATAAACGAATACGCAATTGTTTTTTAAATTTGAGTAAGCGTTAATTGAATTATTTAAAAAATAATAATAATAATAAATGCTTAAATTAAATGATGTACCCTAGTGGTCAGCTAATTAAGTTAGTTGCATTTTGACCAGTTTTGCCTGTTTTTATATTGTTTATTTTTTTATAAAAGTCTAGCGCATTATATAACAAGCATAGTATAAACCCACATTTCACACTTTGTACAAAATTTGTAAAAATTGAATTCAAATTAAATTGTTTTAGACCATTGAATTTAGTAGGACAAATAGCAAGTTTCAAAACGCTAGAATTTTTAATATTGCTATTTTTGCTGACGGTGCTAGGTATTTTCTTCCACGTGAAGTATGTTCGAAACGACTATTATATAGAATAAAATACCTGGCACCGTCAACAAAAAAATATTTAACATCAAGGCAAAGTTTTAAATATTTTGGGAAATTGGTAAATCTTTGGGTTTTTTAATTTTTGTACAAAGTATGAAATGTGGATTTATACGTTGCTGGTTATATAAGGCGCTAGACTTAATAAACAAAACTGGTAAACATGTAACTAACTGAATAAGCTCATCACAAATCCATACATTGTACATGCATGTAAATGTGAGCAAACCACAAATCTCAGTAACTAAAATAGTTATTTACAATTTGTTGTCTTGCAGCAATACCATGATGAGTACTAGTTATTTCATCAACTAAATTAAACTCTTCATCAAAACCTATGTTATCATCATCCTCAATTTCATACCTTATATTATTTAATATCATTTTCCGGCTAAAACTTGGTCATATATAAGCACTCTATCTTTTGACAGGCATCGAAATCTAGATTTCAGCACTCCAAAGCAGCGTTCTACACAGTTTTTTGCTTTCCGGTGATGTCTGTTGTAATTATGTTCAGAATCTGAGAGATTGTTTCCCGGAATAGGAGTCATTAAATAAGGTAATTGAGGATATCCACTGTCACCTAAACATGTGAAAAGGAAAATTATGCTACATAAATAATATACATATGTATGTATACAAATTGAGTAAAATATACCTAAAAGCCAAAAATTTCGTTCTCCATTGGAGTACATATTGTCAAGAAAAACCTTCAAAGCACTTGCTATCCAAACTGATGCATCGTGAGCAGTTCCGCCGAAACGAGCATCACAGTCAAGTATTCTTAAATCCATGTCACATACCTTCAACTGATGAAATAATGTATGTACATACAATGTTACGTATATGTATATACATTTGTAAATATGTAAATGAATAGAACATACCACTTGCACATTTATTGAGTGTCCTCCTTTTCGGAAAACATATACATGTTCAATGTCTTTGGATGGAGTCTTTAATTTAATATGCGATCCGTCAATGGCTCCTATGACCCCAGGGAATCTGAACTCTTGATAAAATCTAAAATAAAGAATCATAAACTTATCTTAAGTAATATTACTTTTAATTTAGTATAAGTACTTTTCCTTTACAGCCTGTTTTTCTTCAACTGTTGATGGAAACTTAATGTATCTAGTTAACAAGTATTTGTCCATGATACTGGCAACTTCTCTAATGCATCTACTGACGCTGCTTTGGGATACATTAAGTAAGAAGTCTTGTCCCACCGAACGTTGATAGCTTCCTGAAAAAGTATGAATTCAATTAATACAACATTGAATATATATATATATATATATATATATATATGTATATATGTACATACCTTGAGCGAAAAATCCCAATGCTACAAGGAACCTTAAAACTTTCGACAATCCACAACTTGATGTCCTTTGCAACATAAAGGGGCGGATTTCATTTAAAACATTTCTACATATTTCTTTTGGAAGTCGAAAAATTTCAGTGAACCGTTCCTCTGAAATACAGAAGGGATCCGTGGATTCCCGCAACAATTTTCTTTTGCTTCGCAAACGGTTCCTTAAAGCTCGCTGAGAGTTCACTGAGATACGAAACAAATATCTTCGCAACTCACTCATCTTGACCACGTATTTATTATCACAACACTCTTTCTTAATATTATAATGTAATAGACCGAGATTGCGGCTTTAAGTTTCTGATTTAGAGCAAATTATATCAAAATTACAAATTTTAACTAATAAATATAATTAATAATAATAATAATATAATAATTAAATAAATTCCCGTGGGCCATTAAAGAAAAAAAAATTTTATATTTCTCTTCAACTACACCAGCGACACCTGCGGCGGATAAAAGTATTACAATTTTCCTTGGAGATTTTTAGAGATGAACCAGCCGGAATCTCATTTAAGAAAAATCGCCCAAAGTTCGGATAATTTTTAGCGTTTGGATTTTTGGAGATTCGTAGAGTTTTAGCGATAGCGAAAGCTGGAATCCGGCTGCAGATGTCTTCTCGAAGAGTTTAATTTTCTTGTACATTTCCTTAGCTTTAAAATAATAATACATAAAAAAAATTAGTGCTGTTTAAGTTGGCAAATTTAATGTCTGTTAATAGCAGCCATGTAAAATTGGCATAGTAAGTAAGCGGTCATCAAGAGGAAGTCCTAACACCTTACAATCTATTTCACTGAGCGGAAAACAAAATTCTTCATCGGAAGGATTTTTGTCTACGGTGCATATTCCCGAAGTCATGGAATCTATAGGATCATCAAAAAATGGTTCTAAATTTAAAAATTTTCTCCCCACGACTGACCCTCCATTTTCATTTGTAAAACGCTGGATTTCTATTGGAACAAAAGGCCTGACGAGACAATAGTTATTAGGAGTTTTTACAGAGAAAACATAGTTGTTGGGATAGTATTGAAATGCACCATTTTTTAATAACTTGAGGCCATTGAAATGTTTATCCATCACTAAATTTTCGTGTGCAATCCTATTACAAAGCAGTTATAATATCTGCGTTGGTTTTTTTTTTATATAGCTTTTCAATGTTTGAACATGATTTTCAAAACTATAGGCAGATGTTTCTGACAGTAACCTAAGCTTTTTACATTATTCACTAAGTGCAAAAAGTTGTGCACGTTGAAGGTGCGAGGAAGGTTTTGAACGAACAGTGATAACATATTTTCTGCGATATTAATATTTTTTATGTCACTTTTTGGGCAAAACAATAACTTACAAGCACAATGCAGAAGTAGAAACTTATAGTAAAGATCAGCTGAAACATAATTCTTGAGAATGTAGATACCAGTATAAAGGAGAAATTGGCGAAATTCGGTGGCCTTCCAATGTAAAATATCTTCAAACCCTCTTGGTTTCCATGCGAATTCCTGGGAAATATGAGGCTTCAAAAACTTTAAGCTATTGGAAATCTTGTTTTTGTTCTCTTTTGCTACCCTAATGATTATTTTATCTTGCAAAATTCGCAGAAGAAATTTTCGCATTACCCCTAAATCGATTAGGTACATGGTATCTATGGCCACCTGATTAATAATTTTTACGCCAATACTTTCTTAAGGTGTCTTTTTGTTTCGATAAAGTGGCAAATGATGTTTAAAACACTTTCGGTTGGAGAAATCTTCATCAGAAATTAACTCCGCACTTTCTACCGTGTACACCAAAATATTGTCTATTTTACGCCCAACTTGAATACATTTCCCACATCCAGATGCTGATGTATGACCTGGAGTGCCACAAATAAATGCCTTTGCAGGGGCATGGCATACAATCGACCGTATCCTAACTTTAACCACTTTTCCTAGTAACTCTATTCCATTTTCTAAAATATTTCTCATTTCTTCCAAAAATGCTGCTAAGTAGCTTTCTATGGTATCCGGCTTCTTTGCCCCCAAATAAATTCCAAGAGGAAAAACCCAAATATTGTCGACGTTTGATATTCTCAACAATGTTGGCCATAGCTGAGCACGGGAACTTCTGAATAAGGGAAGGCCATCTATATTAATATCCTCTGATATTGAGTTATAATTTATTAAAACCCTAGCTACTTTTTGAGTTGTACTCCAATTCCTATATGGCAATAAAAGCCGGGTGAAACTATACGATAATGGCCTTCTGCCTTAAAATCAAAGACTTAGAACTTCGCGGAACATCTAACTTTTCGCTACGCAAAATTTCTAGTAGTTCTTCAAAAGATTTTCGGGTCGGCTTATTCCGAATATACCACTGCACTATCTTTTCTTTAAAAGTTAACTTTGCACTTTCTTCCTCTTCACTTTCGTTTTCTTCACACAAAAAAATTGCCTCTGTTGCAGGCTCACTGGCAATTGCGGGCTGCGCTGACACCCATTACTTTCACCCCTCAATCTGTTTAAATAAATTTCCTTCTGTCTTTTTATTTGCCTCTTCAAAGTCCGCTTACTCATTTTGCATTAAAATATTTATTTCTTTTCTTTTAATAATTTCACAAACAAATCTCTTTGCCACTTTTCTGCTAATGACGCCACTCTAAAGATGCCGAAAACAAACTAAACGAAAAATCAGAAATCGGAATTTTTTAAGTATCCTGTGTCCCTCATGGCATAACAAAGCAACCAGTCTAAGTCTTGTACGGTGAGATACTATCTCTGAACTAGTAACTTTATTTCTTGCGCACTGCAGGGTACCGCTAAGTAAAGGGGCGTGGCACCTCGCATACAAATCCCACTTTCATCCTCCATATCTGTGCATGTGTTCATGGTAGAGTACTGGAGCTTGGTATGGAGATATATAAAATCAATCCTATACTCTTAGACAAAATTGCGGCTATTTTATAAGGGGGCGTGACGCCTTTCAAACGCACTGAAGCTATTACGTATCTTTGTATGCATATACACTTTTGCTAGGTTATTTAAGATGGCGATGGAAATATGCCTTCTGACAACCACCGAACCGTAGCATTAGAAGATAAATGCGTCGCTGAAAATCATGAACGTGAACTGTTGGTGAAAATGTTGGACCAAAATGTTTCAATACAAAAAATTAATTTTGGGCGGGACGAAGTTTGCCGGGTCTGCTAGTTAGTTCTATAAAAGTTTAGATTCGTAATTGGTGGGTCTCTTTTTACTTTGGTTTTGGTAAATACAACAATACTTATATTTTAGGTAGATCACAAATGTCGTATAGATGCATATTTAATTTGACTGAAAAAAATTAGTGATGTTTTAATTTTTCCTCAAGTGTTGGTGCTTTAAGGAGAGTTGGCAGCCAATGAGCCTCACATTCGTACTCACACATACTTGTTCTCTCAAGGTGTATTTAACAAGGTGGTCTTCGGGCGGTGTTGTTAACCCTTATTTAGGCGTTAGGGGTGCTTGGACCTTTCTAGCTTCCTAACTCCCCGCGGGGTATGTAAATAAGACACTGCCAGAATATCGGGGTTACTTATGTGTCGCTACTCTTTTAAGTCCTGACTCCATGCGATCACTTACGTAACATTTTTTGAAGGAGGTAAGTTTTTATTTTTGTATCTAAGTTTCAAGTCAAAGTTATGCTTTTCTTTCATAAAGTTAACTATAATGAAGACCTTTATTTTATTTATTTATTTAGTCACGGCTAGAACATCGTCGCATATGTATCGCTACTCGCTTGAGTGCTGACCTCATGCGACCAATAACGTAAAATTTTTGGGGGAGGTAAGTTTTATTTTTATTTTTTAAGTTTGAAGTCGAAAATATGTTTTTGTTTTTTAGGTTTATGATAATAGAGTACTTTAATATTTTTGATAATACACATTTGGTTTTTAATCTGAAATATTGTTACGAAATTTTTGGAAAATGAGCGTGACCATGGGCGTAGCCAGGTAGGGGCAGGGGGGCCCGGGCCCCCCCTAACTTTCAAATTTTTGCCTAGATATTCAATAATACTACCACGAAATGCTTGCTTGATAATTTCGGCCCCCCCTAAATTTCAAGGTTTTTCCTATATATATACTGTATAACAAATTATACTCCCAACGCTAACTAAATAATTAGTAAATTGATTTGAAAAGTAGATATGTGGATCATCCGGTTCTGTATCAAGTTACTATCTCTAACTTCAAAGCACTTCCATTTTAAAAGGGTAAAAACCTGGCTGCAGTTGACAATGAGCAAAAATTGATTGAACGGAAACTATAAATAAATTTATAGTTCAATTGTTTATTACTTTGTCTTTAGGTTTGTGTCTTTACTAAGCGGTTGGGTGAACAGCCAAGACGTTTACTTCTAAAGTGTGACAAAACAAAATCAAGTAATATATTTAGCATAAATAAATATACCAGCCTAAAAAATACTCAAAATGTTCAATACGCCCTCATACTTATACATACATACATATATATGTATATCATTTAACGTTTTGTCCGGCTATTTGGTTTATTATACAGGTATGTAGAGCGAATTTAAAAAAATTCATCAGGGTTTAGTTGAGATATTCGTTTTTGTACATTTCCCAGTACTGCAAAGCTTTTGCCGGCCATTCACCTGGGAGTGGCCAGAAGTGATTCGTGTGCTTACGGTTTAAATCGCAGCTAACTACGTCCGGATATTTATATCCATGAATACTCTGGGTAGCGACCGAACGCTAGTTTGGGAGCGAGGTAAAGTGGGAGGGCGTAACACCCCGCGTGCGCTGGGGATTAATCGGGATGGAAAATAAAGGCTGACATCAGCTCCATCCACGAAATGCGATGGACGGGGCGGGGAAGGTAAGCGTGAGCCTTGCGACGTCTACTAAAGTTGCCACGTAAAGGAGTGCAATTCGGTGTTGGATTTGTGGTGGGAGAGAGACCGGCGTTCACTCTAGTGGACGAAAGTCTAGCCACAATCCGCATCAAAGCGAGATTCTTCAACATCCCATTCACATGGGCCAATGCCCCGATGGAAGAGAAGGACGAGGCATCCAAGGCTCTCTTAGCTTAGAGCGTACATATTAGCGCTGCCCCCGACACGTATAAAAATCGTGCTTGGCCATTTAAATGCCAAGGTGGGCAACGAAGGGATCTTTGGTGCCAGTGTCGAAAAAATCAGCCTCCGCATAGAAACGGCGGGCTGAGGATGATCCACTTCGCCGGGGCCCGAAGCTTGGCAGTATGTATTACTGGGTTCTAGCATAAAAACATCCATCAAGCTATTCTCATTTT